TTTCTAAATGGAGACCCCAGGGAAAAGCGAAACATCAGTACCACCGAAGAAATCTACTCACTATTGAACGAGGTGACCGTGCAAGGTGGAACCCCGACCGGGCGACGCCTTAGAGACGTACTCGAAGGGTACTGGGATGCACGAGGGTTTCGAAAAGCGATTCTGGGAATCCAAAAGGCGAAGAATAAAGCTGAAAAGAAACGCAAAGGCTGGTCTAGAACATTCCGATCTGAATCCATTGAAAAGAAGCTCGAGTCTGAGCTCGAAAGGATAATGACGAAACTTGCCCAGAGAAAAGAGGGAAAGAAGCTTTTCATATTACTGATAACGGACGGCGAAGAAGATTACCCGGAAAAGCGTGAGACCGAGAAGGTAATTGTCGAGTACGCAAAGGAGTTGGATTTGTTACAGCGCCCAGAGAGAGAGGTTGTGATCCAGCTCTGTCAGATCGGTGTGCTGCAGGATGTGGGGCAGAGAGAGAAGTTGAACGAGTATCTTGATGGATTGGATAACTGCCTGAAGGATTCGGATAAGTACGGTATCAAGAGAGATATGGTGGACCGGGTCCCCTTTGGAGAAACATATGATAGTACCACCCATGAGTTAAGTATCTTTAAGGACTTTGATAAAGCCAAGGTGTCTGACATAAACCCGGTACTTCAAGAGTATGCAGAAAGGTAGGTGGGTAGATGACGATAGATAGTTGCGAACAAGGGCCGGGGGTTTGTTAAGTGGTGGAAGGCGTGCATATTTCTACGTGTTTTAGACTTAGTCGGCACTTCCAGTGTTAGTAGAGTTTATCGTTTGAATGCATGAATGGACATGGTCAAAAGTGATTGGTGAACTTTAACTGTGCGATAAGTAGGAACTGGCGGCTTCTTAACTAGAAGCTTCACCTCTTCCCCACCCCAAAGTCTTTATGTAACATCGACAGCGTAGCTATGCAGCTCGCTTCTGAACGGAGTCTTGAACCTTGGAGAATGACAAAGTTTACTTAAAAAGCTTGTTTCCTAAGGAGATAATAAACCACTGGCACAGCCCATGAAACCTTACCAAACCTCAACCTACTCTCTACCAATAACATGGACCACCAAACCCCTCCCAACTCCACCACACCTCCAACGAGCCCTCAACCACCCCTCGACGACCCAGAGCGCGACGCCGCACGTAACCGAGACGCTTCCTTCTTCGCCTACATGAGGTCTCCCGAAGCAAAGAAACTCCTCACATTCTCCACCGACCCCGAAATCATCGCCCTCCAAAAAGAAGCCAGCCGCAAAAGATGGGCATACCGTTGTGCGCAAAGAGCAGCAAAGCAAGCGATAATAGACACCATGACCGACGAAAAGGCCGCCGAAATCTTTGCGAATCCGTCGAGGTATCTGTCGGCGGAGGAGTTTGCTGCTATGCAGCGGTTTACGGCTGGGATTGATAGGTATACTAGTAGTATCGTGGCGAAATGCGAGAGTTGGGAAACTGACTTCATGTAATAGGGAAAAGGATCCGGATAATACAACAAGCATTTCAATATCAACGATTCGGTCTGTAGCGTACGAAATACTACTGGGTCGTTGCACCGAGGAGGAAAGAGCCAGGACCATAGCCATGCTACCGGAATGGTCGAGGCCGTTTGTGAGGGAGGAAGCGTTTGACTTGGGGGAACCGAGACTTGATCAAGCGCAAGCGGATGTCAAGGCTGATCGAACTCGGAAACGGCTGAAGCCTGAGAAGCCACGGCCGGTGTCGAGCTTGCTGGGGTTCAGTGAGCTGTATGGGATCTCGAAAGGGTATGTTTGTAGCTGGTAGTGTTGCTAGGGCGTGAGAGATCTAACTCCGTGATGGTCTAATGTTTTTATTACAGTGCTGTTAACGACCGTCCGGTCACATACGGCCACAGATAGAAGAATATACGGGATCCCGTCCGCTCTCCCATAGTCAAGCTTCTAATCGCTAGTGTAGTACCATGGTGGGTTGTTTTTGCAGCTCACTCGCAATCTTCAAGAAGTTTTCTAAATCGTAGATAGAATATTTCCCAATCCAAATGCATACGGCCATAGATAGAAGAGCCTACAGGATCCCGTCCGCTCTCCCTCAGTGAAGCTTCTAATCGCCATCTTAGTACCATGGTGGGTGACCACATGGGAACCGTTGGTGCTGTATGCTTTTGGCCTTTTGACGCTTCCCCCTGTGCTTCCTTTGGCCTCCTATGATTGTTTGCACAACTTTTCTTCGTACATACGGCTATAGATAGAAGAATATACAGGATCCCGTCCGCTCTCCCTCAGTGAAGCTTCTAATCGCCAGCTTAGTACCATGGTGGGTGACCACATGGGAACCGTTGGTGCTGTATGCTTTTGGCTTTTTGACGCTTCTCCTCTCCTACTTCCTTGACGTCCTACAAGCCTTGATTGCAATATTATATTGCTGTTTACAGCTATCAGGACATATACGGCCATAGATTGAAGAATATACGGGATCCCGTCCGCTCTCCCATAGTCAAACTTTGAATCGCCGAGTTAGTACTGCGGTGGGTGACCACGCAGGAATCCTCGGTGCTGTATGTTTTGGACTTTTGCTGAACAACGTGTCGATCCTGGGGCACCTAGGATGAGTAGCATATATCGAGATTGTCAGCGAGGAAAGGACTTAATCCAACACAGTCACAGTAGCACCTAATGACCAAAAACATAACAATAAGGGTAAGAGCAAGACGACTTCGGCATCCAAAACATTTTGAATCCAACAAGGGTATACTTCTCAATAATCAAGTGCAAGTTCATCATTCATAACCTAACATCAAAACTTATTCCCCTTCTCACGAAGGTCCAAAAAAACCACCACAATAATCATAACTCCAAACCCATAACAAGCACAAAAAGCGCCCACATCCTCACAACCCCCACCCCCATTTCCACCCCAACTTGCCCTTCCCCCTCCCCTGCTCCTCCTCCACCGCCGCAATCTCCATCCTACTCGGCCGTCTCTCCCTCCCAAGTCTCCTCTTATATCCCCCCAAATCACCCACCTTATCCGCCACAGGCTCCGTCAAAATCCTCCTGATTGGTTCTGCAGAGAGAGACGGTTTCTTGAGATGGAACCGTTTCTTCAGCCGCCCGCCACTCTTGCTCCGCTTGAGGCCTTCGCCGTTGCCGGTCATGTCCGTGGTCGTCTTTGAGCGTCGGCGTGATCCGCCGTTGATCTATCCGTCGGGATCGTCGAACTCGATGACGAAGGGGATCTCGTCGTGCAGCATGTAGTAGTCATCTGCGTCCGGATCGACGCCTTGTATGCCTCCTTGAATGCCTCCTCCGACGTTGACACCGGTGTCGCTGGGGGCTTTGAAGCTGGCGGCGTCGTTGAGGGTATTGTCGATAGAGGCTTGGGTGGTGCCGGTGGTTGATTGGTAGAGGCCGAGAGAGCGTGTGGAGGGATTAGTTTGTTGAGTGGAGGCCGATGCCTTTCGGGGTTGGAGAGAGTCTTGACGGGGTGGCGTGAGGGTTGTTTGGTATTGGACTTGGAGTTGGGAGGAGGAGGAGTCTTGCCGGATTGGTGACATAGATTGGCTGTGCTGGAGTTGAGGAGTCTGGGATTGAGTGGGCTGAAAGGGATGAGAAGATCGACGGGACGACTTCAAGTGGGTGGTGCTTCCAAAGTAATCTTGCCGGGCGGGAGTGATGCCAGGACTGGTCACTGATAGACTCTGTCGACTTTGCTGACTCTGTCGACTCTGTTGCGTTGAGGATGTGCCCTTGCGGGTAGGTTCTCGATCTCGATGTTGGTGTTGACGATGTCGATGGGTTTCCCGGGTACTCGTCAATGTGAGAGGGCCAGGATCCGCCGTCATGCTGAGGGCATCCGTATTATCCAACTGATTTTGTGATCTTGTACTCGTGGCCGTAAGCGGGCTCAACTGTCCAAGACTAACAGCATCTGCATTATCCATTTGCTGCTGACTTTGATGACTTGGAGTTCTCGTCCGACTACCTTCGTCCGAGTTCTCAACAATAACATGCAATACCTCGTCCAACATACTACCCTTGTCCGTCATGGGACTCATTGGTTCAAAAGATCTTTCAGAAGGTGCCATACTCTCATGTCCCAAGCTCTCTCCAGAATGGTTGGAAAGCCTCACGCTCTCCTCGTCCCAGTCCCACCCGGCACCAATACCAGTCTCGCTCACACCATCCCACTTCTCTTCATCACCATCTTCACCCTCGATTGCAACAGTCGACCGCCTTCTCCTGCCTGCATCCCAGCCCCAAAAGTAATCATCATCTTTCTCTCTCTTTATATCCCAAAACCCTCGCCGAAACATGACCTCGTCCGGTATGCTGGGTGGATTCGTCATGTAGGGCCAATTGGGCGTACTTGTATCCAGCTCATTCTCGCTGTCCTCTTGCTCATCCTGATCGTCACCAGTGAGACTTGCGTTGGTAGTGCCCGTTGAAAAGAATGAAGATCGAGACTCTCGTCTTCTGATCCATACTGAATGCGGGTCGTAGCCAAAGCCGCCAGAACTGGGAATAATGATCGGGAGAGTTGCAGTGTTGGTCTCTGTCGAGGAGACTGTTTGTTGCGAGGGAGCGAAAGAGTGTTTCCGGGTGTTTGGGCCGGTAAAGGCAGGGAAGAGATGGACTGATGGTGAGGCACGAAGGGAGCCAGGAGAGGAGATGGCGTCGGTGTCGAGTGAAGATGGCGGCGAGCCACTGTAAGGAACCGAGTCGGAGTCGTGGGTCTGGATGGACATCTCGAAATGGTCGTAAAAGATCCGAAAACAGATGCAAGCAAAGGAAAAAAAAGAGGCGGAGGAGAAGGGAATAGAGAGGACAAGATGGATGTAAATGGGGTAAATAGTAGATGGTGATGATTTACAGGGATACAAGCATAGCATAAGAGGAGGATATGATGAAGAGGGTGAATGTGAGTGGGTGTTGTTGAGGTGTGGAGTAGAAGGTGCAGATTATTTGAGGTTTGGCAAGTAGGACTATGGTCTGAGGCATCTCCTGCCTATTCGACCTGTTAGCATTCCTACTCCACCAACTCTGTGGAAACCCCTCAGAATTTCGAGCTCGGGATTCACTTACTGCAAGTCCAATTGCAAAGCTGTCAGAAAGATTAAAGGAAGTAGGATGAACATGCTCCGAAAGCAATGAGCGATGATTGATAAAAGAGAAAGTGAAGACGACGATGACTGAACGATATGAAAGGAAAATGCCCAAAGATAATGTAAAAGACTCCATAACCGCCCGATACTCCAGAAACAAACCCATAACGCCATACTCATACCGAATCCCATCCCGTGGTATAATAAACTCAAACCAACAAATAATCCCCCATCATCTCTCCCTCATCATCAGTTCTATCTCGCCCCATCATCCATGCCTCCTCCTCCACCACAGCACTTCCCCAACCCAAACCCTCACAAGCCCCACCAGCACCCAAACACAAAGCCACACCACCAATCCCTCCCTCCTCATCCTCCCCGCACTAGCAATCGCATGCGTCCCACCCCTCCACCTAAACCTCCTCGTCTCCGCCGCCATCACTCCCAATCCCGCCATCTCCTCATCCAATTCCTGGCTAGGCGTAGCGGTCGCCGTCGAGGCCGGAGTAATTTCATTCGAAAACGGCAGTGATAATGACCCCGACAGCGGCAGTATTGGCGGTGGAGGAGGAGGTTGCATCGGCACCGGAATAGTAAAGTAGGAGCGTTTGGCTCCGCCAGACATGAGTGGGATGCGGTTGTGGGGGTCGTCATGTTCGAGGATTGGAGAGAGGGAGGGCCGTAGAGGCGGGGTTCGAACGTGTCGCATTGTTGGGTATGGAGGTTGTTTTGTTGGCCGTTGTGGAGTTGCGTAGGATGGTGGGAGTGGGGGGTGGCATTGGGGTGGAGGGAGATGGGACGGGTTGTTTGTTACGTTAATGTTACGAGTCGTGACGGGGTGGAGTGGGAGTACGAAGTGGTTGCGGGGGAAACGAGGGGCGGCCAAGGATGGCCACGTGGGCGATTACGGAAAGGGAAGGAGAGGGGCTTGGCGGGAGAGGAGGTGGAATGGGAATCGAGTTGTGTTGTGTTGGGTTGTAAGTATTTCATAAGAAAAGCTACAAGTGGGGATGGTGAATAATGCATATTATTATAAAACAAGATTAAAACGGGGCGAAAGCATGTAAGTAAAGAGTCGAGTAGAAGGTGATGAACAAACGACAATTACGAACTCCAGCGTTGAAACTCGGGATTACGACGTAAGGTCAAGTGAAGGAATGAATAGAAGCAACCCAATATCCATGCAAATCAAGCCTACAATTAGTACAAGGCCTGAAGATAAATACGACAAAATATAACTTCAACAAATCCCATCAAATGTCCCCATATTACGCCTCCTGAAATCAGGTCCTCCTTCCTTGAGCCAAACCGAAGACTCGCATGTATAACAATCGCAACCATCAAAAAAGTCCATTAACGATACATTGCAGCCAGAACTTGCAAACAAATGCGTCAAAGGTTCACAAATCCAAACACAATCAACAGCGTAAATGCCGTCCCAACAAGCATTAAGATCACAAGCGGGATACTCCACCACCTCCTCCCCTGGACCCCATCCTTGACCGCATAAACCCCCTTCAACAGCCCCGTAGCCGTCCTATGAATCACACCTCCATCCTCATCATCAATGACAAAGACCGGACACATCGCCTCAGCATGAGTTCCATAGCTGGTGAGCCCACCACTATACGTCCTCCCCCCAACACCAGTCTGTGTGGTATTGTAACAGACCTGATCCCCTTGCTCATTCGAACTCGTATGCGAAACGTTCCGTTTGAGGCCCGGCTCAGCCGGCACCGACGTTATTGGTAGCGTGTCGGAAGTCTGCGAAGTCAAGTCTTCCTCCGAGTCAGACCGATCCGAGCTCTTGTCCGAAGATGCCCTACTATCATAGTCGTCACCAAAGCCTGCATAAGAGCCTAGCAACACCCGATTAGCACAGTTAATCTGAATCCGAAAAGAAATGACAAGCTCACCATCCCAGAACCCAGTTTGCACCAATGGGCTATTCGGAATCTCAATGCCTCGCCGGACCCCGTCGTCGGTCACGTAGGTGCTTCCGCTACCCCAGCCGGCTTTGTTGTCCATCTTGAGGGCCATGTCGAAGGGGCTGACGCAGAAGGGTTTGCCGGCGTGGTATTTGCTTGGTGTGGCTGGCCCTCCGACTTGGAGGTCTCGTCTGGTGACAAAGGCATGTGAGAGGGCTGTCTCTGCTCTTGACAGTTCTGGCCATGGTCGGATGGGATGTTGACGGAAGGGTGTTGCGGGGCTCGTGGATGAGTTGCTGGCAGATGAGATGAGAGGGCCCGGACCTGGGGATGAGATGGATCGATCGGCATTCTTGAAGGGAGGTCGAGCAGATGTTGGAATGCTGTGGGTTGAATGCGACTTTTGGAGGAACGAGGTGCGTGTGGTAGGCAGCTCGGTACTGGTTCGAGAAGTCTCAGGCATCCGTGGGCGCAGGTGAGCGGGGATTGGAGGCGGGGCTTGCGGTGGTGCTGCCTGTTTCTCCTTACCATGCCCTTGCGCGTGCCCTTGTTTCTGCTGTAGCCGTTGCTTCTGTATCCTTTGATGCTCCTCCAAGATTTGCTGCTTCTGCAGACGTTCCTGTTGTTGCAGGTACTTTTGCTGCCGCTGTTGTTGTATCTGCTGGTTATGCCTTGCCATCATCTCCCGTTGCCTTTGCTGTTCGTCCCTGAGCTGCCGCTGTGTCAAGTCCTGGTAGTAATTGTCAAAGGTTGTATGGCGGACGGGTTGTTGTCTTTGTGGAGGGTAATGATGCCTCTCCTGGAACCGCTCGGGCTCGGGACGAATGCTGTTGCCTGGTGGTGGATGAAGCGGATTGACTTTTGGCCTTGGACGAGGTGGTGGTTGAATCTCGCTCTCGGAGTCTGAGGCAATTGCTTCACTCTCAGAATCCGAGTAGTCACTTCCACTGTCGCTACTCTCCACCGCAACCTCGTCCGCCGCCATTCTCACCAGATTGAGATTCGACTTGTTCTTGGGGATGAAGGCTTGTGCCTTTTGTCTGACTGCCTGCAGGTTCTTTGTCGATGCCTTTGTAGAACGTCGTCGCTGCGCAAGGACAGCCGTGGTCCTTGATCGAAAGATTGGTCGTTTTGGCTGCTGCTGCTGCTGCTGCTTCGGAAGCGGGGCAGCGGCAGGAGGACGAGGATGAGGAGGAGGGAGAGGGGGTTGAGGAGGAGGGAGAGTCTTTCGAGCCAGTTTGGCTGTCGTGACCTGCGTCGGCTTCTGCTGGTGTACTTTGGCAGAGGTGACCTTTTGTCGTCTCGATGCCGCGGAAGATGTCCTCCAACTCTGGCCAGCGTCCTCATCTTCTTCTTCCGACTCGCTACTGGAGGTGAAGCCAGCCGGACTTTCCTCCTCGTCGCTGTCAGAGTAGTTCAGGTGATCTACCGTTGGTTTTGTCGGCAGAGATCTCCAGCTTGGAAAGCTGTTGAAGCTGTCGGCGGCTTCTAGCGACGGGTGAAGAATGGTTGCTGCTCCGCTACGAAGTCCATGGGCTCCGTTTCTTCCCATGCCCGCTCCGTCGAAGGACATGGGGAAGATATAGCGTTCCGGTGGACTGTCTGGTGGAGAGAAATCGGTTGGAGGCGAGATTGGTGAAGGTGGGCCTTCTCCGTGGGCCAGTGACATAGTAGGTTCGTAGCTATGACGACTACTATTTCCTACTGATTCGCAATGCTGAGGATGACTAGAGGCAATGGATCTTTCGTGCGATTCGCGGACCCTCAGTCAAGAATGGTCGATAGAAGACACCGAATCGTGGGTTGGCGGTTATATCTCAGTGACCCATTTTGAAGAAAAGATGGGATGATTTGTAGAATATGGGATGAAAGGGCCTGGGAGAGTATTGAGATGCTGGTCTAGAAAGGATGGAACAGATACTACCTTTCTGCACAAGTGAACAATCAAGAGACTTAAGTACCGAGAGGTGTCTTTTTGTGTTGAGTCAAGTGCCTCTAACGACTTTCCTACCAGGATGTCAAGCGAGGAGAATGCTATGACCTGGACTCCATCAAAAATGGTTTTAATATAGACATGTTAAGAATTAATGGCAACGAGATGTCAACTAAACCTTGACAGGCAATTTGGCAAACGTTCCATTATCGTTGGCGGTCAATCATGGGTATGGGAAGACAACCCTGTTTACTTCTTAGAAATAGGGTATATTCAAATTGACTTAGCAGTCTGAAGGGAAATAGAACAGATGAAAATATAAATTTATAAAGACATACGAAGTAAAAGATCATGTTCCGCAACTAAAAACACGAAAAATCGACCCTAGGAACGATGAATCCAAGTAGAATAAATCAACATCTATTGCAGAAACCCTACCAATACCAACTCCAAAAAACCTTCCAGCTCAACGGATATAGAAGGATCAAGCATACTCCACAGCCCCAGGCAACCAAACAATAACAACGAGCCCGTACTAGCAAAACTACAGCCGGCCTACCTCCTCCCCTCCCTCCTCACCCCCCTCTCCGCCAACCTCCCCAACTCCTCCGCATGCCTCCTCTGCCTCCTCCTCTCCTTCAACGCCGTCTGAAACTCCTGCGCAAACACCTCCTTATCCTCCTCATTTACAAAGTCAATCTCAAACCACTTGAACTCCTCAAAGCTATCCTCATCATCAATAAACAAGCCCTTCTTGGCCAACGAAAAACCCCCATTCAGATCCCTCGTTCCCAACGTCTTTGCCTTTACAGACGTCGGGTTATGGAAGGCTTTGTGGGAGGAGGGTTTTATCCGCAGTACTCGTGATTTGGACTTTGTGTCGATTTCGATGGAGTCGGTGATGAAGAGGGTGGTGATTGTTTCTTCCCAGTACATTACGATCCGGGAACTGAGGACTTTGACGTCTGATTTGGAGCGGACGCGGGAGAGGGCGGGAGGGGTGACGGAGGAGGAGCTGGGGGAAATGACGAAGGTGTCGTTTTCTTCTTGGTTCCAGATTTGGATGCGGCCGCGGTAGTGGTTGTGTTCACCGTCGAGGAGGGATTTCTTGTAGCGGATTGTACGGACTGCTGAGCTGGAGGAGTTTTAGTGGGGATTTTGTGACAAGAAATGAGGAGTTACCAGTCGGTTTCCACACATTCGCCTAGGAAGGCAGATTGAAATTCAAACATGTCGCTGGCGTCACGGAATTTGTAGTAGAGGCTTGTGGATTGGTAGAGGGGCTGAACATTGGCGAGGGCGTTGACCTCGGGTCGGAATTTACGAATGTAAATGACGGGATGGGCTTCATGGTATCCATACTATCCCCGCATGTCAGTATTCTCGCTCAGTCCGAGAAGAATAAACCACATACCTCGGGTACAAGTTCTGCTGTCGAAATATCAACTATTTGCTGATCAATACTCTCCTCCGAGCCCACCTGTACCGTTAAAATCCGCAATTTCGTCTCTGTTATATCCTTGAATATCCGAACACGACAATCATCCCATCTCCCATGCATCTCACCAGTATAAGAAGCCTTCAGTATCCTAAAACATCAAAATTAGCCTCGTCCACATTCAAAAGAGCAGGGCCATTGGTACATACATTTGTGGAATAATCCTCGGAGCAATCTCAACCTCTCCCGGCCTCACCCCCAAAGCCTGTCTATCAATCCTCTCATTCCAACTATAAGCCGGCCTCGGAACCGCCGGAATCACCACCCCTTCCGCTCCAATAGACGTAGCACCAAAAGAGCCAGTAGAATAAGACGGTGACATTGGGATACTGGCCGGAGAAAGAACTTCTTTATTCCGTCCATTGTAAACATCAGATACATCTGCTGATGAGCTTGGCGCCGACATGGCGTGGTAAGATCGAGATGGAGGAGAGCCAGAGCTGCTGGCTGTTCCGGTTCCAGATCCACTGCC